CCCCAATTTCCCCATTTCCCCCTCACCTGGCATGGTCCAGCGCAGACAGGGACCCCCAAAGCCCCCCCAAAGCCCCCCCAGGACCCCCAATTCCTCACCTGGCGTGGTCCAGCGCAGCCAGGTAGCCGCCGTGGCTCCAGGGCAGGCTCGGGGGGTGCAGCTCCAGCTCCCCCGCGCTCAGGGGGCCCCCCCCGAGGGACAGCGACAGGGCCACGGCCAGGGACCCCCCCCCGGCCAGCGCCCCCAGCACCGCCAGCGCCCGGCGGGGGCGGCAGCGGCCCGGGAACGACGACAGGGACACCTGGGGGGGACATGGGGACACTGGGGTGACACAGGGACCGGGACAGGGACCCCCCCCCAGCCAGCGCCCCCAGCACCGCCAGCGCCCGGCGGGGACGGGAGCGGCCCGGGAACAATGACAGGGACACCTGGGGGGACAATGACACCGGGGGGTCAGGGGGACACAGGGACAGGGACCCCCCCCGGCCAGCGCCCCCAGCACCGCCAGCGCCCGGCGGGGGCGGGAACAATGACAGGGACACCTGGGGGACACCTGGGGGGGGTCAGGGGGACACCTGGGGGGACAGTGGGACACGCTGGGGGCTCAGGGACAGCGGGCACACGCGGGGCTCCGGGGACCCCAAAGCTCGGGGGGGACCAAAAGCAATGGGGGCGCCCGGGGACACCGGGAATACCGGGATCAGCGGGGACAGCGGGGGTCCCGCCGTTACCGGGAACGGGAACAAGGAGAACAGCGGAGTTACCGGGGACAGCGGGAATTACCGGGATAGTGGAATTACCGGGGATACCGGGAACGGGAACAGCGGGGCCGGGCCCGGCAGCGCCCGCAGCCCCGGCAGCGCCCGCAGGCCCCGCAGCGCCGCCATCGCCGAGGTCGAGGGGACGCGCCGCCACGCCCGGAACTGACGTCACGGGGAACGGCACGGCGGGAGTGACGTCACGGAGGCGGGAGCGCGGGACGGTGACGGAGTTTATTGCGGCGCCCCCTGGCGGAGGGGAGGAAGGGCACAGGGACAGGCCACGCCCACACGGGAAACCACGCCCACATTGCAAACCACGCCCGTTAACAAAACCACGCCCTGCACATAACACGCTAACAGGCCCCGCCCCCTTTAAACCACGCCCACACTGCAAACAACGCCCGTTAACAAAGCCACGCCCCCACATTTAACAATCTAAGACCACGCCCCCTTCAAACCACGCCCGTTAACAAAACCACGCCCCCGCACATCTCAATCTAAGACCACGCCCCATTTAAACCATGCCCACACTGTAAACCACGCCCATTAACGAAACCACGCCCCCACACCACACTCTAACAGGCCCCGCCTCCTGTAAACCACGCCCCCGAGTGAAACCCACGCCCCTAAATGAGCTCCGCCCATTAACAAACCACGCCCCTGTATAAGGCTTAGTGTATCAGGCCACGCCCCCACAGAGGCCACGCCCATTAACGAACCACGCCCACACAGAAACCACGCCCCTCAGGCCCCGCCCCTGCCGGCCCCACCCAGAGGGGGCCCCGGGGCTGGGGGGGCTGCGGGGCTGTCCGTGTGTCCGGCCGTGTGTCTGTCTGGGGCTCTGTCTGTGTGTCTATCCAGGGCTCTGTCTGTGTGTCCGTCTGGGGCTGGCTGTGTGTCTGTCTGTCCGTCCATGTGTCTGTGCGTCCGTCTGGGGCTGGCTGTATTTTTGCGTGTCTGTCTGTCTGTCCGTGTGTCTGTCCAGGGCTCATGTCTGTGTGGCTGTGTGTCTGTCCGTGTGTCCGTCCGTCCGGGGCTGTCTGTGTGTCTGTCTGTCCGTCCGTGTGTCTGTGTGTCTGTCCGTGTGTCCGTCCATGTGTCTGTCTGTCCATCCAGGGCCCTGTCTGTGTGTCCGTCCGTGTGTCTGTGTGTCTGTCCGTCCATGTGTCTGTCTGTCCATCCGGGGCCCTGTCTGTGTGTCCGTCCATGTGTCTGTCTGTCCGTCCATGTGTCTGTCCGTGTGTCTGTCCGTGTGTCCACCCGGGGCTCTGTCCGTGGCTCTGGGGGTCGGTCCTGTGTGTCCGTGGGTCCTTCCAGCAGTCGTGTCTGTGTGTCCGGGGGGGTTTGGGCTCTGTCGGTGTGTCTGTCCGTGTGTCCGTCCGGGGCTCTGTCCGTGTGTCTGTCTGGCTGTGACTCTGTCCGTGTGTCTGTGCCGTGTCTGTGTGTCCGTCACTTCCAGAAGAGCACGTTCCAGAGCAGCAGCCAGCAGGGATACGCCCCCAGGCAGAGCAGGGGGCTGAGCTGGGCCCCGTGCAGGTGCTGTGGGTCTGTCCGTGTGTCCATGCCGTGTCCATGCCGTGTCCATGCTGTGTCCGTGTGTCCGTGCCGTGTCCGTGTGTCCATCACTTCCAGAAGAGCACGTTCCAGAGCAGCAGCCAGCAGGGGTAGGCCCCCAGGCAGAGCAGGGGGCTGAGCTGGGCCCCGTGCAGGTGCTCGTGCAGCAGCCCCTGGCCCAGCGCCCCCAGGAAGCGCTGCCAGGCCTCGCCCAGCCCCGCCGGCGCCTCCAGCAGCTCCCGCTCCAGCAGCACGGCCAGGAACAGCGACAGCCCGGGCGTGGTCAGCACCAGCAGGATGGCCAGGGGCAGCCTGCAATGGGGAGGGGGGTTACAGACCCCTGGGAACACCCTGAGACCCCTGAGAGCACCCTGAGACCCACGGGAACCACCCAGGAACAGCGACAGCCCGGGCGTGGTGAGCACCAGCAGGATGGCCAGGGGCAGCCTGGGGGGGACAGGGGGGTTACAGACCCCTGGGACCACCCTGAGACCACTGGGACCACCCTGAGACCCACGGGAACCCCTGAGACCACCCAGGAACAGCGACAACCCGGGCGTGGTCAGCACCAGCAGCACGGCCAGGGGCAGCCTGCAATGGGGAGGGGGGTTACAGACCCCTGGGACCACCCAGAGCCCCCAGGAACAGCAACAGCCCGGGTGTGGTCAGCACCAGCAGGATGGCCAGGGGCAGCCTGGGGGGGACAGGGCGGTTACAGACCCCTGGGACCCCCGGGAACCACCCAGGAACAGCGACAGCCCGGGCGTGCTCAGCACCAGCAGCACGGCCAGGGGCAGCCTGCAATGGGGAGGGGGGGTTACAGACCCCTGGGACCCCCAGGAACCACCCACAGACCACCCAGAGCCCCCAGGAACAGCGACAGCCCGGGCGTGGTCAGCACCAGCAGGATGGCCAGGGGCAGCCTGGGGGGGACAGGGGGGTTACAGACCCCTGGGAACACCCTGAGACCCCTGGGAGCACCCCAAGACCACTCCTGAGAGCCCTGGCACCCAAGGTGTCCCCATGTGTCCCCAGGTGTCCCCAGGCTGTCCCCAGGCTGTCCCCATGTGTCCCCATTGTCCCCATGTGTCCCCACTGTCCCCAGGTGTCTCACCTGTTGCCCCCGGGTCTGACGGCGGCGGCGGGTGGCACCAGGGTGGCACCCAGCAGGAAGCCCAGGGAGAAGTTGAGCAGCGCCAGGCAGGAGAGGAGCAGCGCCAGGGCCAGCAGGGCCAGCAGCTTCAGGGACATCCAGCCCCGCTGGCCACCCCCGGACAGGGCCCTGGGGACACGGGGACAGTGTTAGTGTCACACGGTGTCACACAGGGCCAGCAGGGCCAGCAGCTTCAGGGACATCCAGCCCCGCTGGCCACCCCCCGAGAGAGCCCTGGGGACACACGGTGTCACATGGAGAGGAGCAGCGCCAGGGCCAGCAGGGCCAGCAGCTTCAGGGACATCCAGCCCCGCTGGCCACCTCCTGACAGGGCCCTGTGGGGACACACAGTGTCACACGGTGTCACACAGTGTCACCCCCGGTGTCACACGGTGCCATCCCCAGTGTCACCACCAGTGTCACACATTGGTACCAACACCCAGCCCATACCTGTGGGTGCTGTGGGTGCTGTGTGTACCTGTGCCACGCTCACCTGTGGGGCAGTGCCAGGTGTACCTGTGAGTGCTGTGTGTACCTGTTCCACGCTCACCTGTGGGTGCTGTGGGGCAGTGC